CCAGTGTCCACGATGCTAGAAATCCGTCTGAGATCTCGGATGAAGAAAGAATTGACCAATCGCATTGATCACGTGACTAAATTGTTTAAATGTAATTGGTTAATTCTTTCTCTCTCCGAGATCTTGGATCAATTTCTAGCATCGTGGACACAAGGCTTTACACTCGTCAGTTCTGGCTTGCACTAGTTCGGTTCAGTTCAGTTCTAGTGCAGTTCCAGTGCAGGAACAGAAAACAAACCTTTTGTCTGACTATGACCATAGACGTGAAAATAACCGAGAAGATAACGCGCAATGTCAAAACCCTCATTACCGTTTATTATCTCTCTAATGCCGTGTTAAGACCGTAAGGTTATGTAGCTTTCAGTGAGCGATGGAGCGTAATTATAAGTCGCTTCAACGCGTTTGGTAGAGTGAGTAAAGGTGCATTCACATGCAAGCGTTAAGCAGCGGAAGCAGCAACCAATCAGCTGGGCGATACGGGCAGTGGTGTAAAAAATATTTTTACGCCACTGTAAGGCCGGAATCAGACTATGCATTGAAGATTGAGATTGAAGATTGAAAAATTCAAATTTGACCAATCGAAATGAAAGGAGCTAAAATTTCTTCGTCCTTATTGGTCAAATTTCAATCTTCAATCTCAATCTTCAATGCATAGTCTGATTCCGGCCTTACAGTGGCGTAAAAATATTTTTTACACCACTGCCCGTATCGCCCAGCTGATTGGTTGCTGCTTCTGCTGCTTAACGCTTGCATGTGAATGCACCTTTACTCACTCTACCAAACGCGTTGAAGTGCGGAGCAGCAACCAATCAGTGAGGCGATATTTACAGTGGCGTAAACAATATCGCCTTGCTGGTTGGTTGCTACTCCGTTGCTTGAGGGTGCTGTCCCATGGGCACGGAAAACTGAATCGGAACACGGAAAGCTAAAGTGGTAGGGGCAACCAATCAGCATCGTTCCGTTCCAATTTTAAGTAGCCTGGCTTCCCATGGGGCATATTTTTCGGAAACGGAAATTTTTCGTACTGTCAATCACCAGTGATCACTAGTGATTAACAATAATATTGAAAAAATTCAACTAAAAGGAGCATTGAAAAAGTAGAAAATGTTATCGTTATAAGTATTGTAATTACATGTATGTTAAATTATTTTATGTTAGATTATAATGATGGTTTTGCATACATTTCTAACATCATATGTATGTACAATATGCCAAATACCCAGGGAAAACAAGAAAGTAAACATTATGTCAATTTGACGTCATTGCGACTGATTATTGATCTAATCTACATCATTTTTTCGTCATGGTTCGGTCAATATAATGGCTGCGTTCAGCAGAACGTTTGTTTTGCAACTGTTGGAAGTTTCCTTCGCGCTAATTGGATCATACTTTTAGATCTAGAAGAATGGTCCTATCTCAGCAGACAATCATAAAACGGTTGCAAAACTGTTGAGTCTGCTGAACGCAGCCAATGTCAAATTGATATTATATTTCGACTTTCTGTTTTTATTGGGTAATTAAACTATCTGGAGATGCTTTTCTTCGAAACTCTCTTTGCCAAGGTAATTGTGGAGTTCTTTGCCATTGTATTATATTTTTTAAGAAATAATCGTGCTGTTTTCGTTTTCATCTTTTCCTACAAGAATCAAATAAAAAATATTTAATATATATAAAACAAAACAAGGTTAGAAATGTATGCAAAACCATCATTATAATCTAATATAAAATAATTTAACATACATGTAATTACAATACCTACAGATGACATTTTCCACCTTTTCATGCTCCTTTTAATTGAATTTTTTCAATATTATTCTTAATCGCTAGTAATCACTGGTAATTGATAGTACAAAAAATTTCCGTTTCCGAAAAATATGCCCCATGGGAAGCCAGGCTACTTAAAATCAGAACGGAATGATACCGATTGGTTGCCCCTACCACTTCATCTTTCCGATTCCGTGTTCCGATTCAGTTTTCCGTGCCCATGGGACAGCACCCTGACGCTAGAATCCTAGATTTATCAGAGATGCACAACCGGTGTTACGCATTCTGATTCGCTGTTGCAATCACATAACTTGGCAGCCATTTATAGTACTAGTGACATATTTCTATTTCATTTTATCCTATACATTCTATCTCACTCTATCTCATTCTTGCTCTTGAACAGTATCCATGCTGACTAAATTGTTATTATTGGTATTATACAGAAAGCCTTGATTACTTGTTCGTTAACAGTAGATATATATGCTTCACAATTATCATTTTTTTCAATGTTTCTTGAATGTAAGAACATAATACTGCAATCGTACCTGCAATTATACAATATCTTATCTTCAAACATTTCTGTTTTAATTTACAAACAAGCAATCATAAATGACTTTAAAATTACTTCATTCCAAACAGTTGGAATACTCCATAGATTAAACCATATGAAATTCTTCTATGTATCATACAGAATTATTTATCTGAGTAATGCAATAATATTTTTTTTTAAGTTCAGGAATAATTTTATCGAGAATCTTTACATCGAGTAAAATTTTACTTCGTTAACAGCAGTACAAATTAAGAGATTATGGTGATACGCAAAAGCGATTATAATAACAATTAATCGACTGACTTATTAATACATAAATATTCCCTCTAAAGAATTGATACGATTCATTTAAATATAATTTTATATTACTTTGTCTTATCTTGTTTGACAGTTTAAAGACAGTTTCATAGCATGTCAGCCATGTTTAGTACCCTCCCTAGTACCTTTGTCATATTGGGTGCGTTCAGCAGAACGTTTGTTTTGCAACTGTTGTAAGTTTCCTTCGCGCTAATTGGATCATACTTTTAGATCTAGAAGAATGGTCCTATCTCAGCAGACAATCATAAAACGGTTGCAAAACTGTTGAATCTGCTGAACGCAGCAATTGGCTGTTTTTTGTTTCCGATAACAACCTATAGACCAAACAGATACAAGAGCTTACTGAGCGCTCATTGAGTGGTCGTGCTTCTGGATGTACATACCCATTGATCAATCACAGTCAAACGTGAGAAGAATAATCGATTATGATTGGCCAATTCCTTAAGGCTTATGGCTTGCAAATCTTTAGAACCGGCTTTAAGGGTTCTAGATATACATACATACATACATACATACATATAGTAGGGTAGATTGTGTAGAAGCATATAAAAGTCCTGTGTAGTGTTTTTGCGTCCGTCTACATCCTGTGTGCAGCTGTAATTGTCTGTATTGTGAAATGGAGTGATTGTATACGCGCGTTCTTCTCACTTTGCACAGTTTTATCCATACAACTTTGATCACTTTTCATCTTATCTTTTCTCTCTACTTGCCTCATGTATATAAATCTTCGATAACTGCAAGTAATCACAATCGATGATTTTTTTCGATCGAAATAGTTTCGTAGAGGACGATCGATGAGAGTACGTTCTATTTGGTGCTCATAACGCTCACAAATATCATTCTTGTTTAACAGTTGACAAACAACAATGAAATGCTTACACGAACGTTGCGAACGTCAAGTGAAACGTACTTTAAATGAACGTATGTTAACATATGTACTATGTACCATACCTAGTACATACATATAAAAATCGTTTCTCAGTTATAACTGTACGCTTTTAGGTTAGGACGCAACAATTAGAGAATGTGTATTGTACTAGAAAATCGTCGAGTGAAAGTGCTGATTGTCAAAAATTCCGACAGAGTAGAGGGCTGACAACGCTATCGCGTGTCCTAAAATAGACGATATTTTAGAAAATGTTGCGTGAGAAACTTCAGTGTAGATATTAGTGATTTTTCCATGGATAATTCACTGGCATCAACGTTTCCCGAACAAAAACAATGTCAGAAGTGGTATTTGCAGGTTGGTGTCATTTAAAGTTTTTAAATTACCGTAAGTCCGGATCTACAATAAGTATTTTAAGCTTTAAGCCGTAAGAATTTGATCAATTACAGTCGAATTCGAAGAGAATAATTGATTATGATTGGTCGATTTCTTATGGCTTAAGGCTTAGAACTCTATTGTAGATCCGGGGTAAAGAATTCAAGTCCGAATCTACAATAGGTGTTCTAAACCTTAAGTCGAAAGAAATTGATCAATTACAGTCAAATCCGAGGAGAATAATCGACCATGATTTGCCCATTTCTTATGGCTTAAAGCTTAAAATCCTGTTGTAGATCCAAGGTAAAGGGTCATCGGGTTATCTGGGGTCAACGCGATGTTACGAACGCTTTGAAGCGTTTTTCAATTGGTCAGTTTGTAAAATTTCTTTCTTCTAATTGGTCCATCAAACGCTTCGAAGCATTTGTAACAAGATTTTGACCACAATCCTGGATAGATTAATTTTTGCCTAAAGATCCATGTCTTATTGATTATATTTGCACAAGTTATGGGAGAAAAAAAATCAAAGAGAGACAAGAAAGAATTTAGAAATGTATCTAAAGAGTCGACGAGTGCATACTTAAAATTTTTGAAATTAATACAATAGGGCAAATAAGCATCAATCAGATTCTTAACTCTTCTATTCTCCCAGCAGTTTTATCAGAAACTTTCAAAAATTTTAAAACTTAGATTAAAAATATCCTAGGCTCGAAGGAAAAAAATTCAAATTACTACAAAAGAATAAATATGCATCGCAAAGATGTCAATTACTAAACAAAATGATATGTGATATCCAATATACATAAATATGATTTCGTTAAGTATCACACTGAAGATGACCAACATTTAGAAGGTCGAAACGTATGTATCATTTTATTTATGTATATTAGATTTCACATATTTTGTTTTAGCTACTGACATCTTTGCGATGCATTTTATTCTTTTGTACTAATTTGAATTTTTTTTCCTTCGAGCCTAAGATATTTTTAATCTAAATTTTAAAAGTTTCTGAAAGTTTTTGAAAGTTTCTGATAAAACTGCTGGGAGAATGGAAGAGTTAAGAATCATTTATGCTGGTCATAATCTGTTAACTCATGCTCTTACTTTTATCATTAGTTTTTATAATAACAATTTGATAACGTCACCGCAATTTTTTATGACTATAATGATAACTAACACTGAGGTTGCGCTAAGATTAGATTAGAAAAATCTTTGGAAAGTAACTTGCCATCATTATACGTTATTTATTAGGAGAAAAAAACAACTTATAATGAATTACTCTTTCTGTTGTAACGAATAAAAGTAACTAATTGCAAATAAAAAAGGTCTGTTCGCATTGCTTGTACTTTTTGCACTTAGCATCTTCGCTTTCTTTTGTTCCTACATCTATATATATATATATATATATATTTATCTTCTTTTAAGTGCAAAAATTTTTAGGGATTTCAAGCAACGCGAACAAACTTAATGTTACACTGCTGGACACTGTAAAAAGCTAAGGACGAGAGTGTAAAATATGTTAATGTTACTAACTTTTCGAAAAGTTATTTGATAGCAATACTTATTTTGCAATAAAACCGTCAAAAATCGCTAATACTGAAAAAAATTATAACTTAACTCTAAATTAAAATCATAAATCTATTATTGATACACGAAATATAATCATAAGAATAAGAATGAAAGACTATAATGCATTCTGGTCTTACACTATGAAACTAAACTGCGTTCCAACAAGTATCTTACACTGTGTTCTACTGTGTAAAAACATTTTTCGGATTTAGAGTTCTGGATAAGGCTACTAGAATTTTATCAAAAAGTATTATTTTTTTACTTTTACTTGAAATAAAAAAGTCATGATCTCTAAGGCTATGTTTCAAAATTGAATGCCTGTACTGAAAATCTATAGTGCACGTAACATAAACTATCGCATTTTCAGTGTTGACAGTAAATTTGGAACACAGCCTAAATAGAACTTTTTGAGAAGAGCCAGGGCCTGTATTCTGTACACAGTTGTCAGTATTGTTAACTAGCATCAGCCAATAGCAAAAAAAGGGAAAAAGCGCGGTTTTCTTTAGCTTTAGTTAACTATCCCGGCAACTGTCAGTAGCCGGATACAGAATACAATAACGGGATTTTCTGATGTCTTATCGATGATTACCATCATCGCTAACTAGCAACAGCCAATGAGAGTCACTTTTCCAGGATTGTCCTTATTGTTAGCTGTTGCTAGTTAACGATAGCGACAATTGTGTCGATATAAAATGTTAGAAAATCCCGTTACAGAACTCTAAATTATATCAAAATTTTAACAATGGGTGTCAACTTCATAGAGATCAAAATTTTTATGAAATATGTGAAAACTTAATTCTATTAAGTTCTATTAATTCTTAATTATAATCTAAAAAATTAAAATGAAATGATTTTCTAGATTGTTTATTGAGAGTGTCTATACTTATTAATATGATTATTTATTAATATAGTAGGGTATAACAAAGTGATATCTGGTTTGTTTTTTGAAAAATGCATTAAAAACGTTTCAGACAAAAATTGTAAGATTTTAAGTGGCGGATTAGACAGCAATATTAGTGTGACCTTGGATATCGTTGTTAAGGTCACGTAAAAATCACTTCGAAATTTATAAATAAAAACCCCATTTTTTGCATATTACTTGTAGCTGACCTCAAGAGCTTTTCAAAGCACTAAATAAAGATATTTTCATTATTCAATTTCTGAGTTATAACACTTAAAAATTACAATATTACCGACATTAGCATTATCTAAAATGTTTGATTCACGACTAAAATCTTGAAATGTTATTCAAGATTATAACATTATATATTGAAGTCAAGGCTATTGGAGGGTATTCCTTCTATTTTCATTTTTACGTAGAAATTGTTATTTTAATACTGTAACTTTCAAGCGTCACAATTTGAAAAATATACTTAATGAAAAATACTTTTATTATATATATATATAGTGCTATGAAAAGCTCTCAAGATCAGCTACAAGAATATGCAATCAAAAATAATGGTTTACATTAAAAAATTTTTAAGTGATTTTGTGACCTTGCATCGTGATGGGTCTCTCAGAGACCCCTTTTTTCCCACTTTTTTTTGCTTAGTTTTTAATTATTTTGATGAATTGTTGACGTTAAGTACTGATTATTTTTTTGTAAGGTCTCTAAAATAAGAATAAATGTTTTAAAAAAGTAAACAACTGTAAATTTAATTATTATAACTAAATAAGTAGTCAAGATAATAGTTCAAATATCATATCTGATGGACGAAAAACAAAAAATAGTTTTACTACTTTACTTTGTTTCTGGGTTGCTGCATCTGAATCATTATTAAAATCTGTTACTTATTAAATAATTTATTTTTATAAATATAATGAAATACTAAATATTTTATTAAAAATTATTTGAATTATTGATTCGCCATGTTGGTTCGGTCATTTTGAATTAAAAAATTCTGACTTCTCTAATTCATAATCAGCGATTCGAAAAATTTCAGGATGTAAAGTTTCAAAAACATCAGTTTGATAGAAAAATTCGTGACATAAAGGGTTCATAACAGGCGTAACTATTCAAAGGCACACTAACATTGTTATGTAATGCGCCACTTAAAACCCTATTACTTTTGTCTGAAACATTAAAAAAAAATTTTTTTTCGAAAAACGATACGGTCACTTTGTACCCTCTGTATTGATCGTTGTGGTTCATATCAAACCTGTATTGCCCATTTCATTTAATTTTCAAATCAAGTCAAATTCTTAATTTTAATTTTCAAAATCTATAAAAAATTCAAACAATTATAATGGATAGATTATAAAATTTAATATATATGACTAATAGAATCCATTGATCAAATGTATAATAATATCAGTGTAAATTCAATTATAATATCTTTTTTTAGGACTTCACATATGTTGAAAAAACATCTATATATTTCTGAGTCTGATCAAATATCTCCAACCATTATGGCAGATGAGGAAGGTACGGAATGGCTTCAAGAACTGCTGCATGATGTGCAGCTCTCCCAATTCTTTACGCGAATCCGGGATGATCTGCAGATTACTCGTTTGCATCATTTTGATTACGTCCAAGCAGAAGATTTGGAGAAAATTGGTCTGGGTAAACCTGGTGTCAGACGTCTGTTGGACACGATAAAGAAAAGACGAAATACCCAATGGAAAAAGAGTTTAATTACTAAAATTAAACCTGGTAGCAGCGGTAAAAGCAACAAGCGAGTTTCACAGTCCGTCGATACTTCCTCGGTGCTGACATGTCTTATACAAGACAAAGATGTGACATTATCCGTTAAATTAGGCGATGGAAGCTTTGGTGTAGTGAGAAGAGGAGAATGGAGCTCCCCCTCAGGGCGAACTCTGCCTGTCGCTGTGAAAGTTCTCAAAGCAGATGCTTTAACGCAACCAAATGTTATAGAAGACTTCATTTCAGAAGTTCAGGCGATGCACACTTTGGATCATCATAATCTTATTAGATTGTATGGTGTGGTGCTATCGCAACCGATGATGATGGTGACCGAGCTCGCACCTTTAGGTGCGTTACTTGACTATTTACGGCAGCAATGCAGTAGAATCTCGATTCTCACACTCTGTAATTATGCGCTGCAAGTTGCCACGGGTATGGCATATTTAGAAGCGAAGCGTTTTTTACATCGCGATTTGGCGTGCAGAAATGTTTTACTGAGTACCATCGATAAAATCAAAATCGGCGACTTCGGTTTGATGAGAGCACTTCCTCAACAAGAAGATTGTTATGTTATGACAGAACATAAAAAAGTACCTTTTCCTTGGTGCGCTCCTGAGTCTCTCAAGGCTCGACATTTCAGTCATGCGTCAGATGTCTGGATGTTTGCTGTGACACTGTGGGAGATGTTAACGTTTGGCGAAGAACCCTGGCTAGGATTAAACGGTTCTGAAATCTTGCGTAAAATCGATCGTGAGGGTGAGCGGCTTCACAAACCAGAAGCAATGCCTCCATATATGTATGAGTTGATGCTTCGTTGCTGGGCGAGAGAACCCTCGGAGAGACCAACATTTGCTTTGTTGAAGGAATCACTGACTGGTATGGTGCCGTCTGTAATGAAGGCTCTAACTGCCTTCGAGGAAGCCGGCAAGATGTCCATCGATCCAGGAGACCAGATTGCGATCATCGATGGACGACCAGAAAATTACTGGTGGAAAGGCCAAAATCAACGAACTTTTCAAATAGAGCATTTTCCACGTTGTTTAGTTGATCCAATGCGCCGAAAACAACCAGAGGATATCAGCAAGCCGTTGGAGAATTCATTCATTCATACAGGACACGGAGCGCCCTTTGGCAAGAGCTGGGGCAGTCCCGTTTATATTGATGATGTATATTTAAGAAACCCAATGGATCCTCCGGATGTGTTGGTGGCAGCCTCGGTTGATAATCAGACAAAAAAGAAATTTTCTTGTGGTACTCCGCGTACTAAAAAACAATTTAATTACACAAAATTGCACAACGATGCTAGGTCGAGTCCTATCAAGGTCTCACAAGTATCGTCAACCTCGAGTATAAGCCAAGAGGATACTCTGATCGATTTGTCCATCGAGGAGTCAGCGAGCACAAATGTACATGTCGCATGTAAGCGAGTAATTAATATTCTGGATGAACCCATTGATGATGAGAGATTATCCTGGCAGGATGAGGAAGGTAGAACATATGCCAATTTTCCTGGTAATGTGGATCCTGCGTATTCTGATCCATTTGATACTTCCGCGGTATTTATGAAGCCGCCACATTCGCGATATTATAGTCATGTGCCTACTGATGTATCTAATAATTATCTGAAGACGCAGACGTATGGAAACGTGAGTGATCAGGAAGAAAAAGATAACGTTCAAGATGTTGTGAATTGTTTGAATAATTCCACTGATACAGAGGTATGTTTTTGTAGTATTAGAGATAAATTTTTGAATTATTTGTAATGTGTAATGAAAATTTCGAAAATCCGAAATAATTATTCAATTTGAATATTACTAAAAATCAAGAAGTTTTTGAATACTGTAAATGTTTGAAGAAATATGGTTTGAAGTTATTGTTATTATATAATATAATATATTTACATAGATGTCCCATTTTAACTTTTACACCAAAATATCTCGAAACGTACAAAAGATACAGAAAAGTGTTTCAAACAAAAAGGTTGTAAGATTCAAAGGGGGATATAAGAAGGTACCATTGATTTGATTTTGAGTGGTGCTGCCAAGGTCAGGTCAAAGTCATTTTTTTAATGGAACCCCCCCATTATTCATTACATATTATCGTAGCTTACCTCAAGAGTTTTTTAAAATATTCTAATAAAATTGTTTTTTATTAAGAACTTTTCGAATTGTAAGTTTGAAATTTACAGTACCACCGGCGTTAGCATTACATAAAGTGTCCGACTGACGGCTAAAACCTCTTGAATTCAGGATTATGGTCCTGGATAAGATTTGTCAAGATCAAGGCCGCTATTGGAGGTCATTCCTGTTATTTTCATTTTTACACAGAAATGTTAAACAGTCAATAATTTAATTTGATTTTCTATATAATTTTTTTCTTGAATAAACACATCTGTGTTTTCGTGAATAAAATCTTATAGGCCTACAAAATCTAGGAGAAGATGGTCGAGGATTTTTCCAAATAATGTCTTGGCAACCATTTGTTTTCGGACTTGTGTTTATTAGGATTTATTTTTTTATTGTTCTCTATTCCCGTAATGTCTGTAACTCTTTTTTGGGGACACAATAATGTGCTAATACGCATTTTTACATCAAAGTAATTTCAATTTTTGTGTTACACATTTTAGAGCCTGTATCAAAATATAGTAACAAAAACACATTTATTAAATTATGATTTGTAAATTTTAAAAGAAAGCGAAGATTAATTTGCAAAGAACATCCAGCGAAGCCTAACAAGCCATTAATATTATTTTGAATTATTATTTATTATAGGTACAGATCAATTCTTAGTTTAAATTTTATTTATTTTGTTCTCAGGAGACTTGCCAATACTCGATGAATCTATACAAAGGATGTCAGGAGAATGCAGTTAATTTGAATACAGACGTGAAAGAAGATGACATTACAAATCACTATAGTGAAATAGATAAAATCAGCCCGTGTGCATCAAGCTGGTCTACCTGGTCTAATTGGCCGGAAGATTTGCGAAAAACTTCTACCGCGCAGACGTATGTTAATATTTCTAACAACAGTCCCACATCCTCATTTGCTACTATAATTCCTCCTCATCCTCTTCCTCTTCTTCCTCCACCTCCACCACCACCTCCACCTCCTCCCCCTCCCCCTCCTCCCCCTCCTTCTCTTCCTTCTCCTCCTTCTCCTCTTCCTTCTCTGCCTCCTCCTCCTCCTTCTCTTGACCCGAACGTGAGCCTGCCGAAGCCTAAGTCTAATTTTGAGCTCGCGCAGAGCATGAACGAGCTGTCGTTGAATACTAATTCTGATCGTCAAGAAGTTGCTGCTGTTGCCAAGAAGTTGGATCCGGTTTTCTTGGCCGAGCTGGAGAAACATTTAGGCGAGAAGGAGGCGACCAAGAACATGAACGCTAGCAACAGTAAACGCCAACAGCCGGAAACTATTTCCGCAAATTATTTACACGACTCATCGTTAGAAAAATTGCAACAGAATTCTACGTCTACTCATCAGATTTCAACGATAGAGGACGCTACCAGACCTTTGTTACTTATTCCAGCGTTAAAGCCTCCACCACAAGGAAAACCGAAATCGCCGGTGGCAACTATAAATCGAGCAAACGCTTTATCGACATCATCTAGCAAAGTACAGAACTTCTGGCAGCCAAAAAGCACAAATGTTCAAAGACCGCGACTCCAGAACGACCACTGTGTATCAGAATCCGCCACTGAGGCTATAATGAGTCAAATTTGGCAGCAAACGCAAGGTCTATCGCAGCAGCCAAATATTTGCCTGACTAATTCGGCAGCTAACCAAATATTAATGTCCGTTTCAGTGACTCAAGCGAACGTTAATCGGCATCAAGAAACTGCTAGCAACTCTTTCGATAATGATACGAGTGATCAAAATCAATATAGTTCCTACAATGTCACCAAGGCCACTACTCTTATACAGACACAAGCTTGTCTGTCAGATCAAAATTATCCTCAAAATACGTTGCATGTCAATCAGGATAATATCAATTTGTTTGAAGGAACTTCTGATAATACTACTGATAGTAACACGAACGAGACTCAACATGGATCTTGCAACCTTGTCAAAACTGCAATGGACCAAACACAAATTTGTCCGTCAAACAGCCAAAGTTATCTTCCAAATTCATTGAGCATTGACCACGATGTTTTCAATTTGCAACAGATCGCCATTAGTAACATTTCTTCCAGTGCCAGGAATTATCTTCAGTGCGATGCAGCTAATATTTCTAAAATGAATCAAACCCAGATTTGCTCATTAACCAATGGAAGCCAGCATTATCTTCATAATACTGACTTTAATCTACTTCAAACGACTGCCAATTATGTTTCTGACAAGAACAGGGGCGAATTCTCTCAGCATGGGCATTGCAATATCTCCAAGGTTGCGTCTAATCAGGCACAGATTTATTCATTATCAAATCAAAATTACTCACCGAGTATAGCACCAGGTTTTTGTATGGGTGATTTCGCGTTGCCTCAAGCCTGTCCTCAAAATATGGCAGTATCATCTAGCACAAGTAACGTTCATGAAATCGCCCACATACAAAATAACTTGCAGCAGTCGCAACAATTAAAACCTGTTACACTTTTATCTCAACAAGTATACGCCGAATTGAAACAAACGGTATGTACCTGTATAATTACACAGAATAGGATATTCTACTTTAAGATTTAAAATAACTTGTTATAATTCATTGTGCGCGCATATTACGAGAAATATTTCAAATAAAAATTTAAGAATAATAAAATTACAATGAAGGGCTAATGAGCCTAGCTAGATGTTTTTGATGTTTTTAAATATCTATATTATTTAATAAAAAATAAAATTAATGTCGCTATTACAAAAACGTTTGGACCTTAAAAAATAAGTCTTCCTCAGTACATAATTTCAGTCTTTGAAATCATCAAACTGATAAAATTATACATCGTTCAGCTACATGCATTAAGATTCTTTTGTAGTCTTTCCTTGTACAAACTCTTTATCCATAGTTATTCCATTTATAGATTTAAAAATAAACTAACTCCCTTCTCTCTCTCTCTCTCTCTCTCACCATCTTAATATAGACGATGTTGCAAGATAGAAAGGCTAAAAAATCTTCGTATTACAATATTTGACAATGCATTTCAATATCGAGTTTCGAGAACATAGGTGTCTCCACTATTTAACAAATATAACGACCTTTGTAAATCGTATTTAATATGAAGAAATAATTCAAAAGTTTAATACACTATTATATACATGTCAAATTAATTAAAAAAAAAACGGCTAATATGCCAATTGAGGGGGAGACCTTTCCGACGAACTTGACCTTGACGTATGTTGTCAGTCATGACCCTGAGTAACCTTTAAGAAATTTTAGCCTCGTTATCCATTAAAAAGTTATTAACTTAAAATCTAAAGTTAAATCTAAACTTAAGATCTAATAAAAAATAATTATAATTATACAAAAATAAAACATAATGCTTATCAAATTTATTTTTAACAAACCTTGGGATCTAAAAGCCTAATAATTAATAAATCTCAATTTTAATTTTTTTTAGGTCCCTAATCTAGAGCAGCTGTCTCAGAACGAATTTAATACACTCTACAATAAAACTGTTCGACAGAACATTCTCCGAAATTACTATTCTAATAACCTCAGCAGTGAATCCAGCCAAAATCATGTTCAGGAAACTACTGGTAACCAACCATTACAAAAGAGTATCAACCTCAAGAATCCGCCTATTCAAGGACACGCTTGCGACTTTAGTTCTTATCTGAAACAGCCGCCGACTTATACCCCCCCACCTGCTGCTCCTCTTATGACTCGAAGCTTACTTAAATCTAGCCAGAATGAGTATATGCAGAGTCATAATCCCGCAACTAAATGCAACTTGAGTAGACCTTCCAATCTATTGCAAGCTGAAGCTTCTACGTCGACTAAAAGTGCATTAACAACGCTGAATGACTTTGCTGCTGCCAAGGTGAATTTATTACAGGTCAATCAGCATTCTGTCTGCACTAGTCCACCGCTCACCGCAGCTTCTCAGCAATTGGTAATGTCATTAAGCGACGAATTTAGAATGAGTAAAATCATGAAGGTACAGAAAGAGACCGTAGATGCGTCGCAGCAGGAGATATTAGCTGCATTACAGGCAACTGGTTGGGATACAAATCAAGCTGCTAAGCAGATCGCGAAGGACAGGCAGGTCAAACTTGAAAATCTCATGAGGTATGTGTTTTTCTATAAATTAATTTATTTTCATGAGGATATTTATGGTGTAATCGAAAACATATATAGAATGTTTCATAACATATGGGCATAAGTTCAGAAATGAATTTAATAAAAATAATACAAAAGATTTATAAATATTTGTTCTATCTGACCTTGCTTCTGAAATTATAAACGTTATCGGGTTTTATTAATTCTTATTACAAACTGGATAGTATCTTCACATGTCTTGACATATTTTCACGCAACTTTGTATTTTACTGATAGTCTAACATATATTAAAATGGAAGAGGAATTGAATGCTGAACTAGTAGTCAATATATTTATATAAATCAAATATTGTTACGCGAGTCAATGCAGAAACTAATAAAAAAAAACTGTAATTTTCCCCTTGTTTCGTTTATGGGTGAAGTCGACCGATTCGGAATACATTATCGTGTATACTTTAATTATGGAAAAGGATTTTTAAAATTGTGGATGTATAAAGACAGTTAAAAAAATATTTATTTGAAAAATAATCTGTAAAAATCAGAACCCGCTTCCTTCAAGAGGATGCGTGACGGCCAAATTCTGACAAAATCACTGTTTTAAAATCACGATTAAATACAACTTACATATGTATGATTTACAATACAAATATATGATTTACGAGACTGTATTCACTTCACAGTAATGAGGAAACTGAATATAAATATGAATATACTTTAACATCTTTATTTTATATTCTATGATTTTGAAATTACATTCTAGTGTGTAAGAAATTAAATATATAATTTTTATATTTATTGTGGTACAAATCTAATTCACATTGATTTATCCGATTCTAATTATAAGAAACAGAAAGAATACAAACTTGTGTGTGTGTGTGTTTTCTTTCCAAAAACGTTATTCTATAAAAAGTCAATAATTATAGCACTTTACTTTTTAAATAAATCTTTTTTAATGGTAGTTTATAAATTGGACTTATTACAATTTCAGATTGGGATTGGCTACTAAACAACAATGTGAAAATGCTTTAAAGCAGACTAAATATGACGTAGAAGTAGCAGCTTCGTTGTTGCTCGATCAGGCCAGATGAAGAACAAATGCAGTTAATGTCCCGACACCTATGGTACAGCGATAACTCTGCATAGGGTAATGTGGTAATTTTTGAATATGATACAATAAATAAAATTTGAATTCAATTTTTGAAATTCAAGTTTGATTTTTTCTTGTTTAGTACCCTTCAATACTCTTCATACATGGATCAGCATTAGCAAATTTAAACGTCAAAAATTAAATTATTTTGTTCAAAATTGTATTGTACCATGTTCGAAATGTACCGCCTTAACCTACGCATTTATTTATAAATAAAAACAAACAGAAACTGTTGTGCTTAGAAAGCAAAATCGATCAGAGATCACTTATAAATGTTTTGCATTCCGATTACATTTTAGCGATTGACTGATGTTGTTATTGGCTATCGCATATAAAATAAAAACTGTTATGCGTATACGTAATCAAGAGATGGTACTGGTAAAGATATTGCGCGTCAATGATATTATTTTTAAGATGTAACGAATATAATTCTGAAACTGTGATATGTTATTGATCTTTGTTTGGATTTACGCTCATATGAATGAGTTTCTACGGTTCTCACAATGAGAAATCGCGTTTTTTTTAACGCAGATAATGTTTGAAGGTTTTGAAGTTAATAAATATAATATTTAATTAATACAAAAACAAACGTACATAGATTCTCATTTACTCTTTCAAACTTCAATCTTTAAGTACGGAACAACGTTACGTAGTCAATTGCGTCTGTGAAAACGAAATTTCTTTTCGAGTTTAAGGTATTTAGTAATTGTACAATATCTAGCTAGATATAGAACTTTTGTTAGACACTTTTCTCAAACTTATAACATTATTTATTCATAAACAATTATTTTATAGTTAATGCTTTTATATAAGAAAATAAAATGTGAATTGAATGCTATAAAGAAGATTTAAGTGTATCTAATCCTTTCGTTACAAGTGCACTTATGTTAGCGTCACACTACAAAGGTAAAGCGAGATTAACTATCCAGTTATTACAAGGTAATGACGTTTATTCATATGTCATTGCCAACAAAATCAAGTATCCTAAAAAATGGATTTGTTGCATTATTACGAGGTAACGAGTTTAAATTTTGTTTGAGGCAGAGTACTCTGCGGTTTGTACAATAATAACGTTTTCCATAGCAGCGAAAGATTAAAAAATCTGCATTGTAACTTTCAATATGTTTATGTTAATATAATTACGTTTTTATTACGTCAGTCGATTTTTCCTATGAAAACATTTATATATACATTTTTGAAAATATTGAAACAACCGTAAGGGTATATCCGCACAAACGTATACATAAAGAAAATTATCCAATCATATTTTACGTGCGACTTTATAAGAAAAATACGATTGGATAACTTTTTTTATGCATATATTTATGCGGCATGCAAATTTGATTGGATATATCCTTAATCTTAGTCGCGAAATAATTCGTCGAATGGTTCTAGGAGTAAGATCAGATTCGTATCGTCGATTTGAACGTGTGCACGCATGCGTCGGTCCCGGTGATCCATGTAGGGAGGGTTACGATGGCTGCGGTCCACTTGACGCTACAAACGCTTCAAAGCATTCTTTGATTAGTCAATTCGTAAAATTCTTTATTCTGATTGGTCGTTCAAACGCTTCAAAGCGTTTGTAGCGTCAAGTGGACCGCAGCCTATAGCGCACATTGTTAACTGGTCATTTTAAAATAATATGTTCTCATTGGTAAAGCAGTGAAAAGTTACTAGGCACTAGCCGATATGAGTGGATGTGTGTTATCGCTTTGTGCTCTAAGCCCGGATCTACAATAGGGTTGTAAGCCTTAAGTCATAAGAAATGGGCGAATCACAGTCAATTATTCCCCTCGGATGTGACTGTAATTGGTCAGTTTCTTACGGCTTGAGTCTTAAAACACCTATTGTAGATGCGGACTAACGGGAACCTCCCACCTCTCCCCTAGAGGTGTCCGACTTGTGACGAAACGAGGTCCACCTCACATCCCCTGCCTCCCGTTTAGGGATGTTTAACTTTCCATGGAAAGCGAGTATCAGATTACCGACTTTCAGGCCGACCCAACTGCCAACTCTGACTGCTGACCAATAATGGACCAATCACATTGAATCAGTCTTAGGCCGAAATCAGACTACGTTGCATCTCTTTCTATCTTGAGAGAAGACAGAGAAAGAGAGAAGGAGAGAGAGAGAGAGAGAGAAGTTCTTGACTAAGGCTCGTATTCAGAACGCGCTTTTATCGATAAAAGCGTGCTTTTATCTCTGAAATTCTATAATATGCGTGACGTAAAGTATAGTATGTTAGCGCGCTAACATCGTTGTAAGCGCGTTCTGAATACGGGCCTAAAGCTCTAGATATATCAAAATAGCGTAAAGGTCCTCCATTTTGGACTTACTAACTATACCATATACATAACAATAATACTAAGCACTTATTGGACTGCAAACAATTAGGTTAAAAATGGTGGTCGAAATAGCCAATAGGAAAGTTGTCGATATTTCGACTCAGATAAAAGGATTGCGCTATTTTGATATATCTAGAGCTTTATTCTTGACAGTCGCAAGTGTAGATAAACAGTACAGGAAGAGCGATCATAAAAATAAAAGATAAAATCATAAATTTATTTTATTTTAAAGTAGTATTGAAATTTATGTTCTAAATTTGTTCAAATAATTATTATACAAATCATAACGATGGTTCTAAAGCTAGAACGTACTAAATGTTAGAACGTACAATAATACGTCCCTAATATTTTTGCTAATAATTTCTTTTTTCTAAGACTGAAAAGTATTAATAATATATAAAGGCACCTGTGTAAACTAATAGATTTGTCTAACAGCCCAGTCTTAAGATTCTCGACGCCACAGATACAACAAGTTTTCGTCATTTTCTGTATTTTTTCTTCGTGTCGTGCTTTGAATACGTGAATCAACTGGAATCAATAACATGAGAAAGATTATGTGCTCTTGCACCTTGTATCTTTATATGGGTAGACCTCGTTCGCGTGGAAAGTCAAACGCCTCTAAGTAATGGAAGATATGTGGGGTGGACCTCGTTTTGCGTGGAAATCTTCCCTATTGAAAAAAATCATGTCACAATGTTACATGACGTTACATTATGATGAAATCATGTAATTAAAACATATAAATCACGTAACGGATTGTTCCAAATCAATATTTAAAATCACATAATTTGAAAAATCATATATTAGAAATAATTTTGTTCATCATGTGATTTTATAGTTATCGGATTTTAAAGAATTAAATGATAGAAATGGAAGAAAAAAGAACATATCATTATGTGACTTTTCAAATTACATAATTTAAAAAATCACGTATTGATTTGGAATAATTCGTACGTGATTTACATGTTTTAATTACATGATTTCATCATGCAACTGTGTGACGTGATTTTTTTCAGTAGGGTCCTTTATTCCGTTTTGGTATAAAAGAACAGCATTATGTAAATTATATAAAATGTATGTTAGTAAAATATATATTATATTAAAAAAATTACATTCTTTTTATAAAAATTATTTTATTAATAACTTTTTAACGAATGCACGTTTCGGCTCATTTTTGAGCCTTCATTAGAGCATAGACTAATAAAATTTAGAATTCGTAGCATGTACATATACGTTGAGACTTTATTAACTTGCATCGCGTTGCATACGTCGACAAAGTAAAAATTCAATCAAGGGGAGATAATCTTCAAAACGTCATGCGGGTATCATTCCCAGATGGTTAAAAGACCAAATGAAATAGAAATCCAGATTGCTATTGTGAATAATTAAACTGTGAATAGAGGGAACGACGAGAAATTACCGTTCAGACGAGATGAAAGTAATTTACCATAGGCGTTGTAAGCAGTTGTAAGCAGTGATGCACACATTTGGCCACCGCCCCCTGGCACTACAGGGAATCATCCCTTCCACTTTGGCCCTACCAAATGATACCGCGTTCGGCTAGCTTCGGCGCAGAGCGAGTGAAGCAGCTTAGGCTTTAGGGCCCTAGCACAAAAAACTTAAGGCAGTAAGACGTAAGCAGTAAGGAAATCAACATGTTGAATTCGCTACTGCTTATGTTACGGTCTTATGGACGCTACTGTGATTGGTCAATTAGCTTACTGCTTACATTTTACTGCTTAAGTTTTTTTATGTGCCATGGCCCTTAGACATAAAAATTTTAGTCGTAATCGTAAGGCCGTAAGCAAATTGGCCAATCACAGTTGAGCGTTTTAAAACGCGAGATCATAATTTTGATTGTGATTGGTCGATTTGTTTACGATCTTATGCCCGTGTCACACTACGCATTGGAGATTGAGGATTGCGAATTAAGGATTAGAATTCGACCAATCAGGTAATTTTAATTTTAATCCGTTTCGTTCTAATTGACTGAATTCTAATCCTCAATTCGTAATCCTCAGTCTCCAATGCGTAGTGTGACACGGGCATAACGATTACGACTAAAATTTTGAACGTGTGATTGCCTTTAGAGGCTATCTTTCTCGCCTTCGGCAGCCTTCGACACAGCAAGAGTGAATGAGACAACGCGAGAAAGAGCCTGCCTTTCTCGCTTGTTACAAGCAACCAAAATGAAAAGGACGGGCTCTCTCTCGTGTTGTCTTTCGCTCTTGGTGTGTCGAAGGCTGCCGAAGGCGAGAAGGATAGTCTCTATCGCTGCTTTGCTCGCTCAGCGCCGAAGCTTGCCGAGCGCGGCGTCATTTGGTGGGGCAAAAGTGGAGGGGATGATTCTCTGTGATACCAGGAGCCAAATGTGCATCACTGGTTATAAGTGGTAACATAGAACAAAACAAGACATGTAAAAACGTGTTTCTTTATTGTCATTCTCCCTATTCATAGTTTATACTTACAATTAATCAAAATCAGATATGAGTAACATTAGATACCGTGCCGGAAGTTGTTACAGTACTCATCATCTGATCAAACTAATATATAATAATAAATTAATGTAATAATTAAATAAACGTTTTAAATTTTCTGATTTTAATTTGAAGTTTATAATTAATAATCTCAAAGATTTTAAATTGAAGTTATGTGAATTAAAAGAATATATTGTCGGAAATATATTATGACATCATTGCAACCCTTAAAAGCGCATATCAAAAAGATACGAAGAACTCAACCCAGTCAGAAATGTTGAGTTGATACGACATCGAATCAACATCGAAAACGGAATGTCGAAATTCTAATCGATTCGACGTCGATCGTGTATAAAATATCAACGGCTATTCAACTATATCATATCGACATCGATTTAAGGTCGAAAATCGAAATTAGGTTGAAATAAGGTTGATTTTATTTTTTCAGTATATATATATATATAAAAATGTATTACGCACATTGAAAAGTGAGGAAAAGAACCAATTTTATTTCTTTCATTACTTATGTTAAGGAATACACCATTTATATATGTAATGTTACCGGACATAATAGGCGCACGTTTCGCGTGCACTACTGACGAGTTTATATCATTATACGTATATAACATTTATTTAATTATACTTATAATCTTCG